AGATTTAAGAGATGTCACAAAGAGCATGTCAAAAAAGAAATATTATAATTCATCGTAATACAATTATCTTGTATACGAATGGCTTTATATTAATATGTATATATATATATATATATATATATATATATATATATATATATATATATATATATATATGTATAAATATATAAACGAGTAATTCAACAAAACAAAAATACCAATTGTATTCTAGTCTATCTGCAACCCACGATGGCCAAACACAAACCGTTTGTTCTGATACAAACCAGTTTGTAATGTCCACCATTTTTAAATTACCCGTGGTGGGGGATAACGAAGGTAACCTGTGGGCCTTCTCGTCCTGTTCCATCGCCTCATTCAAAACCTACCTGAAAAGGTGAGTACTAGTGAGTACCATCTCTTGACGATCAACTCGTTTTGAAAGGGTTTGAAAATGTTGCATGAATATTTGATGTCTGTTGTTGCTACCTGATGCTCCACGCTGCTTGCAACAAATGTGACTATAACAATAAATTGTAGACACAATGACCTTGTGAACAGCGAACCGAGTTTTAATGTCTTGACGAAAGTGGGAAAACAGCTACCTTTACCAAATAAAACACATTTCTATTTTTGAAATTGGATTCATGATATTTTAAGACAGCCACTCTTCTAGGAGACACAACTCCAAAATTAAACAACTGCTGCCTTGTAGTTTGATCTTGGTTGGACAAAGGCTATGCAAGAAAATCCAAGAAGAAAAGCAGGTTGAAATTGGAGTTAATGGCGCATAACTAGTTGACACGTATGATCGTATCCTTAATTGTTTTGGAGGGAATCCCTTCCAACACTAAAAATTAGAACGAAGAAGAAATACATAAGAAAACATTCAATACCAATTCTATGTAAATAATATAATTTAAGAAAGAAATAAAGGTTAGTTACATCAAAATTTTAACATTTAAAGATATTTATCCAAACATTAACATGTATCATATTAAGCTGTAAGTTGCACATTCGTCAAATACGTTATAAACCATTTTAGTATTGAAGAGGTCACAGGAAGATATGCAAGTTTGAATCAGAACTAACAAGAAAGAAGTACAAATTTAAAAATAAATAACAATATTTAAACAATTTCATACGTTTATATAGTTAATTTGCCGTGTTTAAAAAAAGTTAATTTTAAGCATATATAACAAGTAGGTGTGAAATACCTATTTTTACTATCAATAACATAGACAGTAAATTTTACCTGCCACCAATATTTGGTCTACGACAAATTCCCGAAAGACACTTGCCCGAATGCCGTTTGCCCGAAGGCCGATTTCCCGGGCATTTGTCGCATTCGGGCAAGATTCCATTCGGGAAATCGGCCTTCGGGCAAACGGCATTCGGGCAAGTGTCTTTCGGGAAAACGTCCGGCTCCCCCAATATTCCAGCGTAACTTGCACGCTACCTGTGAACACGGCCCCGACAGACTTGCTGCCGGTACCTGGGAGTGGGGAGAGAGCAGGTGAGATCAGCAGCTTGGACGACCAGTGTCGCCTGGCCTTTCAGAACTCCAACAGCCACTACTGTAAGGTAGGGACCTTTTACATACGGTCAATTTACCAACTTACGTTTTACATACGGTCAATTTACCAACCTACGTTTTACATACGTTCAATTTACCAACCTACGTTATATGTACATTAACTGGGGAAATATACCAACCTACGTTTTATATACGTTCAATTAATTTAATAAACCAACACATTACAGATCATTCTACATGTATTAAGACAATTAATTCAATTAACTCTACGTCCATAACGTGATTTTAATGGTCTGGGAAATTAGGAAAAATTTAAAAGAAAACAATTTCTCACTAGAATATACAGAATGAATCTTCACTATGTGGAGGTATGTACTGCACCATTCCCACAAAGCCAGGATATTGTCGATATGTTTTACCTCAGGAATTCACACCTTGTCTCGATAACAATGTAAGTTACTCTTAGATTACTCGGTAACAATGTAAGTTACTTTAGTCTATTTGTGTGTGTGTTACTTCAATTATACTGTGGACCTTTATATAACATTGTGTTTTTGTTTCCTGTTGAATTTTGTTCGATATGTAACCTTACATCGTGGTTTTAGCTTAGAAATCAAAAGTTTTTAAATGGTAGCAAAAATGAAATTTATTATACTATACTTGCAGTGGTGTGTGGCTGGAAAATGTGTAAATAAAACGACAACAAACGCAACCAAACCAGCAACAACAACCAAACTAACATCAACAACGACAACCAACCAAACAAAAACAACTACTAAACCGCCAACAACAACAGCCGAAACAACAACAGCAACTAAACCAACTACAACAACACCAGCCGAAACTACAACAGCAACCAAACCAGCTACAACAACAACAATAACCAATCTACAACCACTGCAATCCAACCAAGTACAACAACCAAAGAAACAACGACAACCAAATCAACAACTAATCCGACAACAACAGCAACAGTTAAAACAACAGCAAAAGAGCCGTGTCTTCAGTATTTTAAAAAGTACATTTTAAAGTTTATTTTTGCAAAAGGTAAATTTTCCTTGACCTAGCCTTGTGTTTATATATTACGTCATTACCTTCACCTAAATTTGGCCTTCCCTTCGCGAAATAACGCAACTGTCGTCTCTACAATCAACTCACTGTAAAAATAACTGCTACACCATAGTTTTTACTTTCTCGTATATACGTAGTATAGAGAAAGTATTGTAATCGTGCAAAAAAAAAAAATCGAGATTTTTACAAATCTCGACGTTTTACTTCTCACTGATACGGAAAAACATAATTTTGCAATCTTGTCCGTATGTCTGTGTGTGTGTGTGTCTGTGTGTCTGTGTGTCTGTGTGTCCGTGTGTAAACACGATAACTTGAGTACCGTTACAGCTAGGTTGATGAAATTTCATATATAAGTATTATATCAAAATCGTAGATCCGTATCAACTTTTGAGCGATTTCCGATAACCGGAAGTGGTACTTTTCCTACTTTGAATTTTTCAAAAGCCTATAACTTGAGTACTATTTCAGATAGATAAATGAAATTTCACATGTAAGTAAAAGATCTAATTCTCTACCTTCTGTTAAATTTTGAGTAATTTCCGTTGACTGGAAGTAGTAATTTACGCTACTTCCGATTTCTCAAAAAACTAATGTAAATTTTAAAAGTACTAATAATATTGCGCACTATTATGCGCTTTTTTATTGGGCGTTCACTTGGTGTGCAATTAATTTGTCTACGAGATTTTATTCTATTTTTACAAGCTTTTATTTAACTCACTTCCTCGTCGGTCTGTCTGTCTAGACGGAAACGCAGGAGTGAAAATTCGGACAGTTCTACTTGACCGATACGATTCACAGTTGGCCCGTGGGTCAAGACATGAAGACAATGCAATCTGAAACTAAATTTGACTTAATTGGATGCCTAATTAATTTTTTATGAATTAATAAAAATTTGGACCGAATTAGTAGGCATGTCTAGCCAACCACACCACACGCGTCATCACCTTCAATAGCTGCGCCATCACGTAATGGCTGCGTTCAAAAACCATTGCGCGCCTACTGAACATGATAATCAGTAGGCGCGCAATGGTTTTTAGTCATGTAACTCTATTGTAAATAAAACATGTAAATTACTGAAAAAAAAATTCATAAAAAACGTTTTAATAACAAGCTTTTATGTAATGATGCACTAAAAAGTAGAAAATAAATTATAGACTACTATTTAAATAACTATAAAGAAAAGCGTGGGTGTCTTCCTTAACATTAGTAAAGGTATCCAATAGATACTAAAGTGACCCACGCTTTTCTTTATAGTTATTTAAATAGTAGTCTATAATTTATTTTCTACTTTTTAGTGCATCATTACATAAAAGCTTGTTATTAAAACGTTTTTTATGAATTTTTTTTAAAACTTTAAGTATTTAAAATGGATTAAAAATCATGTCTATAGCCCGAGTTCCCATCCCCTGTTATTTTATATAAGAATATTCGAGAAAGTTTAGGGGAGATCACTCCCGGTTTATTAAACTAAGAAAACAATTGATTTTGCTTTGTAACAATAATTCATTTTATTTTATTTCTCTGTATTTTAGCCGTCAAACTGGATCATGATTTAGCGGGAAATCTTATCTTTTTGGAAATATTAAATGCTGTGTTACACACAAGTCTCTATTTGTCTACTTTTTTTTATAATTGTTTATTAATAGAAATCTTCCCAATTTTTCAGACGTGTAGGCCTATACAGCAATCAACGAAGTTTAAACCACTATCAAAATGTTTATTTACCTACTAGCATCAGTTCATATAATTCATGTGCTTCCATAGAATTTTGGCAAAATCTAACACGTGCTGATCACAAAACCAAAATGTTAATTAAGAACTTTAAAATAATTAATAAGTTTTAAAAAATTATCAAATTTAAAATACAAGCTGACACGTAATCTTCCCTAGCCAAAGTTCTAACAATCTTCGTTACTTTTTATTTCGATGATTGATGATGATTGATGATGATTGATGATGATTGATGATGATTGATGATGATTGATGATGATTGATGATGATTGATGATGATTGATGATGATTGATGATGGTTACCTATCATCGGGTATTCACCAAACGTATTATGAATCCTAAAAACTAAAATCCCGCTCCCCACCTCACATACATACCTCGCCCGCCTAGGCCACTGTGCGATGATGAAATAGAATTTTTTTCTAACCATCACTAACTCAATCATGCTACACCCGCTTATTATTAGATTTTTATTAAATATTTTTGAATATTAATTCGACTTAGCGAATCCGTCAAAGTTGGTGCTGGCCATTGAATTAGTCGTGTTGTGTGATTTAAGACTGTGTTGTTAATCTATGGTCAAAGGGAGGTAACCGTTGATTTAAGAAATTTCATAAAAAAAGATATTAATTATTGCTCTTTAAATTAAAAAAATAATAACAATAATAATAACACTATATCTTCTCTTTTGTTAATAATTTTTAATTGTAATTATGAACCTGATTAAAAGTGTAATTGTTTATTTTTCTGGCCATTGGAAAGTAGAACATCGTATTACATGTAGGCCGAGGAACAAATAAAAACCGTCTTCTAGTTAGTTTTAGTTCCGTCACAGGGCCGCTCAGATTCGGTTGTAAACTGGAACCTGATGCCTTGACCTTGACCTGGGATGTAGTGAGACACACCTGGAAGAACAGGTGAAATATTTGAAAGGTTACAAGTTACACAGGTAATTGATTGTGACAAGTTACACAAATGATTGTGACAAATTACACAGGTAACTGTATGTGACAGGTTGCATAGTTAATTGTAAAGAAACTGGTAAAACACATATCGAAAAGAAAATCTGACAAGTTACAAATACATGTTAAAGGATGTTACAAGTACACTCATGTGGTAGTAAAATGACAAGTTACAGAATCGCCGTGTAAAGGTATCACGCTACACACATAGAGTAGACGGTATGTCAAGTAATACACAGGGAAAAGAGGGTTTATGACATTAAGTCTGTAGAATCACACAGTTAGTTAAGAACATTTTGCTTATTATGTATAGATGAAGCAGAGTTAACCTGTATCATTTGATCATTTGATCTCAAATTTAAAAATCTGATTTGTGTTTAAGTTCTAGACATTAGGAAGCTTCGTGCATCCAGTTTAAGTATTTATATTGTGTACGATGTGTACACTACGTTAATAGACCTCCGCATGTACACCGCCATGTTGTAAGTACACGAGAAAGTGTACATATCTAAGTGTACACACCTAGGTCCAGAGTTTACGAGAAAGTGTACATACCTAGGCAGTGGCGTAGCGAGGACGGGTGCCACCCGGTGCGGCACTTAATGGTGTCACCCCCCCCCCCCCCCCAGAGGCGTAGCGACCCTTCCCGTAGCCAAACTTTCAAATTTTCGATTTGCACCCACCCCCTTAAACTTTCGATTTGCACCCCCCCCCCCCCCGCCTCAAGTTTTTCTCTATATATTTTGCTATTTTTTGCCTTGGTGTCACCCCCTTAAATGGTGTCACCCGGTGCGGTCCGCACCCCCGCCCCCCCCCCCCCCCCTCGCTACGCCTCTGTACCTAGGTCTAGAGTACGAGAAAGTATACATACTTAGGGAAGTGTACCCACACATGTGTACATACCTAGGTCCAGAGGTTTCCCTGTGGCCAGGTCCACAATCTCCCAATACGTCCCTTTCTCAACATCCCCAAATACATCATTGATGGCCTCAACAAAAAATCCTTTCTGTGACGTGAAATATTTGGCCGTGAACCTAGATGGAGCAGAGTTTTTTTAAAATTTGTTATAATTCGTTTGCTTAACATCTCAAAATTGATATACGATGATAAACTTTCAACAGACGCCAACAATAAGACAGTTTTGAGCATATGTGTCTACTGATAATACACAATTATTGTGCTGTAATTCTTACATAAAGCGTGTATCACCGTTGGCAGCGGTCTGCAGGTAATACAAGAGGTTGTGGTCTGGCATGTAGGGCAGGGATGTGTGGAAGTCGAAGTAAGGCTTCACCAGTTGGTTGCAGACGTGGAGACTCACGCCCAGACGAGACCCGTCGTCTGCTGACCTGTGGTCGTCTGCTGACCTGTGGTCGTCTGCTGACCTGTGGTCGAGGCTAAAACAAGAATTATTGTAAGTTGCATCTAAGATTTTGAACTTACAGACACGCCTTTCGGGTGATCCGATGCGTAGCGCAACATTTAAGACAAACAACCACAAACGGGTTGCAAAACAAGACTGAATGAAAACAAAGGCTCGTTTAAACTAAAATAATTTAATAATATCTACACTATCTACACCTAACACAGTCTATTCTAAACACAACACGCACAAGCTAGTAAAATTATGATACTGTGGCTAAATATTAGTATAGACCTAACCTATCAACAAACCTAGGTACAAACAACATTCACGACCATTCATCCCCCTTCACTCGTTCACGAAACTAAGATTGTAAAATTGTATGTTTCGGTATTGATAAACAAAAGATTTTACTTTAATCACGTGATATTTTATTTTGAAGGTTAAAATGTATGCCAGCTGAGATTACATGTTCAATCCTAAATAGACAAAAGATTTCTTTTTATTTGACATAAACACGGGAAATAATGTAGATGAAGTTACACATTGTGACCTTTCATGTATGTGTGCTATATCTGTGGTTATATGTGCAATCACACCTGCACATACACGTAACAGTGTTATTGTCTATGTCGCTTCTTCATAAAGCGACCTTCACTGTAGGTTTAAACTGTTTCCGTAATGCTCAAAGCAACTAAATAGATGTTTGAATAGATCTCATACATGAAGTTAAGAATCAACTGAGTTCTAGTTCTCGTCCTCTATGTATACACCTATAGGACATTCAAGTCGTAGGATAACTAACGATACATTATATTTATAACACTATATATAGGATACAAGTAAAAGATAAAAACTTACTTATTTATAATTGGATCCATCGAGTCAAAGTCCTGGGAGCCTTCGAAAAGTTTGGTTGTGAATATTCAGATCTTAAATGATCAGCTGTCTTTACAAACAATAATACTCTTTGTTTACAATTCACATCATATGGCGTAGACTGGCTCCGTCACTAGTGATGAATGAGTTTTTTTGGTAATACTTTTAAATACAGAGCTAAATGTAAAGAGCTAAAGTGTAAGCTCAGCCTTAGATGAAACTACACGAAACAAGTGTACAACATAGAAAGTAAGGATGTAAATAAAAATAGAGGATCTATTAATAGACACTCATTGTTTTAAATGTATTACCGGGTATTCCCCAAATGTGTAAGATTGTAGAACTGAAATTTCATAGAAAACCTCTGGCTAAGTATTACATGTTCATGTGAAGTGCAGACATAAAAAAGTGTTTATTTCGTAGTTGGCAACTGACATATTTTGGCCAGCGTCCAACTTTATTGTTTTCACCCTCGGCTGTAGGCCTGTCTCTTTAATTATCTCTTATTCCCTCTCCCTCGAATATGCATATTGCTAATACACATTACATGAACACACATTCATATTTCTATATGCATATAAATATATCCTATATATATATATATATATATATATATATATATATATATATATATATATATATATATATATCTTAAATATATATGTATATATATATATATATATATATATATATATATATATTTAGGATATATATATATAGGATATATATATATATATATATATGATATATATTTAAGATATATATATATATATATATATATATATATATATATATATATATATATATATGTTTAGGATATATATATATATATATATATATATACATACATATATATATATATATATATATATATATATATATATATATATATATATATATATATATATATATATGTATATATATATATATATATATATATATATATATATATATATATATATATATAATGCATATATAAATATAAATTAATCATCCAACACGTTTAATGTGAAGTGTGTCTAAGACACTGGTTGAAACAAGCTCGTATAACAGGCGTGTTACCCTGACCTTTTCAAGTCGTCCCCCTCCTTGGTGTCGATCTCATCAGAAATAAGTTTCCCACAGTGAAATGTTTACTACAGATTCTACATCCCAACAGTGTTAAAACGACGTCAATTTTTTAATTCTATGAAAACTGCGGGTTTTTTTTTCTCGCTAACACACGCAACATAGAATATGGAACTGCTTATGATATTTGATATTGTCAGGTTGGAAGTTACTCATTAATTCTTAAAACAAAGGGCAAATATAAGGTTTTTATTTTAAATTAAGTCGGCTAGAGTTATAGGCCTTTAAGATGTGAATTATTATTTAATTATATATTGAAACTTTTGAGTGAAGTTGTTTTGTAAGCATACGTGTCATTATTATTGCCATTGTTATGTAGATAATTCATTAATTGCTATGTTTAATTTTTTAGTAGAATGATTATTTATTCGTTACAGTACAATAATCTTAAGTATATTTGTGCTATGCTTATTATTAAAATTGCTGTTACTCTTGTTATTATTGTTGTTACAGTTACAGTGTTGTCAAACAAGTTGGTAGCTTTTTTAGGTGAACCCTAAGAATTTGTGAGGCTGTGTATTAAAGGCTTCTATGGCACTGGATTTTTTTTGGGACATTTAGAAAATAAAACTGTCACTTTTGTGATCTTTCTACGTGAATGTTTCACTGGTCGAACTCTCGAGGTTTATTCAATCTTCTACTGTTGAGACCTCAAATGAGGAACTCTGCACTGTTATACATATCTCTACCGTCAAATTGAGTCTTTGAATTTTAGACCTTTTTTAATCGCTGAAAACTTCAAACTCAAGGCTTGGAACTCTACATTAAAATCCTTTTAACTTGCTCAAGAGCGAGTGTGACCCTCCCCCACCCACCCCCTCACCCCCACACCCCCGCCACAATTGCTTGAAGCTGATTTTGTAGATTATAATTATACAGACATGAACAAAGAACAAGAGGAAGCCGTTACAAAAACAAATTCTTTATTAACTCCAAGTAACGTCCATATAATCTATCAGCAATACTAGCTCAACATTGCATTTGGTTATACAGTCAAATATTTTATTTTATTTTTTTATATTATGTACGAGTTAAAAGCCGTTTCAGACCTTCATAGTTGCTTACAAAGTTTTTTAGTTCTTTTTAATTTCTATTTCTTCTTTGTAGATTTGGATTTTTTAATGCGAACGAATGTTCAAAATGTTGTAGTTCCGTTGAACAAATGAAGAAGAAGTGTAGAGCGACTGTGTTACTGCACAGATCGACCGAAGCGACCAAAGCGACTGGAACTGTCGATGGAATCAAAGCGTCGTTTGTTTGGATAGCTCAACGAATTGAATTTGTAATTCGATAAAGCTCCTGAGCTAAGTATAGAGCTCAGCGCCTGCTCTAGTTCTGCTGAATGTGCGTCGTCAGCTAAAAGATCTGCGTCATCGGCGTCTTCCGGCGTCACGTCCCAAACGCTCTCCTCTGCGTCTGATAAAAACGGATCCATTCTTTTCCCGAAGCTGTAAAACCGGCTTTGGTCGAGCCGGTCGAATCTCCTTTTCGAGAAATCAAAATCATTGTCGATGCCGTCGTCCCTTTTACCGAACCTAGAGAACAGGCTGTTTCGGTCGATGCGGTCAAACCGTCGCTTGTCGTAAGAGAACGAATTGTCGTCCAAAATACCGTCCCAGCTCCGCTTTCCGAACCCGCCGAACCTACTCGAATCGGCGAACCTATCGAACCTCCTTTTACCGAACCCCCCGAAGCTGGAACCGTCAGCGAAGCGATCAAAACGACGTTTCCCGAACCCCCCGAACCCTGAGTGACCTCCTATCCTGTCGAACTTCCTTTTCCCGAACCCGTTAAATTGCGAACTGTCGGAAATCCTGTCGAACCGTCGCTTCCCCATCCCGTTCCATACGCCGCTATCTATTCTATCAAACCTGCTTCGTTTTTCCAAACCCCCGAACCCACTTCTCTCATTCTCATCGTTTTCTACATTCTCATTCTCGCCCATTCGGCTCAAATGAAACGTATCGCGTTTTGACACCTTGTTGCTATTTTTAGCGCTGCTCATTAAATTCAGAGTAATTTCCCCTTCATTGTTACGATTTTTAACTTCCCGTTTTTGCCTGAAGTCTTCGCTCTGAGAGTCGCGTTTTTGACGAGACCCCGCTCCGTTCTGCAACTCGCTATCGCCTTCCCTTTTACCGAAGCCCCCGAATGAGCTGCTACCGGAGATCCTGTCCATCCGTCTCTTCTCTTCCGTGATTTCATCCGCGCGCTTCCCAAACTGGCTGAACGCGCTGGTCCCCTCGATTCTGTCCAGCCTTCTCTTGGACTTTTCTTCCTCGCTGTCGTCTGCTCTTTTACCCATCCCGCCGAAGCTGCTGCTGCCTATCCTATCGAATTTTCTTTTGTCTTCTGAGATCTCATCTTTTCCGGCTTCTTTGGCTGTGTCTTCTTGTTTTACCGGTTCGTCAAACGGTTGATCTTTTTTTCCGAAGCCGGCAAAACTAGAATCGCTAATTCTATCAAATGGTCTTTTTCCGAAGCCGGCAAAACTAGAATCGCTAATTCTATCAAATGGTCTTTTTCCGAAGCCGGCGAAACTAGAATCGCTTATTCTGTCAAATGGTCTTTTTCCGAAGCCGGCAAAACTAGAATCGCTTATTCTGTCAAATGGTCTTTTACCGATTCCAGCAAAACTAGAATCGCTTATTCTATCAAATGGTCTTTTTCCGAAGCCGGAAAAACTAGAATCGCTTATTCTGTCAAATGGTCTTTTACCGATTCCGGCAAAACTAGAATCGCTTATTCTATCAAATGGTCTTTTTCCGAAGCCGGCAAAACTAGAATCGCTTATTCTGTCAAACGGTCTTTTACCAATTCCGGCAAAACTAGAATCACTAATTCTATCAAATGGTCTTTTTCCGAAGCCGGAAAAACTAGAATCGCTTATTCTGTCAAATGGTCTTTTGCCGATTCCGGCAAAACTAGAATCGCTTATTCTGTCAAATGGTCTTTTTCCGAAGCCGGCAAAACTAGAATCGCTTATTCTATCAAATGGTCTTTTTCCGAAGCCGGAAAAACTAGAATCGCTTATTCTGTCAAAAGGTCTTTTGCCAATTCCGGCAAAATTAGAATCACTTATCCTATCGAAAGGTCTTTTTCCAAAGCCGGCAAAGCTCGAATCACTTATCCTATCAAACGGCCTTTTCCCAAAGCCGGCAAAGCTTGAATCACTTATCCTATCGAACGGTCGTTTTCCAAAGCCGGAAAAACTTGAATCACTTATCCTATCAAACGGCCGTTTTCCAATGCCGGCAAAACTTGAATCACTTATCCTATCAAACGGCCTTTTTCCAAAGCCGGCAAAGCTTGAATCACTTATCCTATCAAACGGCCTTTTTCCAAAGCCGGCAAAGCTTGAATCACTTATCCTATCAAAAGGTCTTTTAGCTACGCTACTTGTGTCAGTCGAATTTGAGTCAGAGCTCTCGGCTTCTAGCTCAGCCAGCTGTTCTTCACTGATGTATCCAAAGTTTTGTACCCAGCTCTCGGGGTCATAGCCGTCACCCGGCTCCGACGCTGAAGGGCTATTTTTAGACTCGGCGCTCTTCTTGCCGAATCCTCCGTAGCTGGAGAAACTTGAGATTTTGTCAAATTTTCGTTTCGTTGCGCTGTTGGCGTCATCGACAGAGGCAGACGAACTGTGGCGCGGAGTTTCTGGGATTTGTTTGGACGTGTCTTCAGAGGCTGTCGGTATCTGCAGGGATAATGTTTAAAAAATTACAATCTCTATAACTGATTCTTTGGTTAAGAGAGGCAAAATATGATGGGCGTTAACGAGCTTCGGTAAAAACAACCCTAATGAATTGTATGAAAAATTCTCTCAATACCCCCCCCCCCCCACTTAGTCGGGTGGTGGGGATGATAAAGGATAATAAAGCCAACTATGACATATATATATATATATATATATATATATATATATATATATATATATATATATATATATATATATATATATATATATATATATATATATATATATATATATATATATATATATATATATATATATATATATATATATATATATATATATATATATATATATATATATATATATATATATATATATATATATATATATATATATATATATATATATATATATAACCTACTTTTAGAAATGTATTTTAAAAAATTATCTAAAACAAAGTGTGTTCATAAGGAGGGATTTCACGAGAGAGAGAGAGAGAGAGAGAGAGAGAGAGGGGGGGGGGGGGCAGAGGGTCTGTCGTTAGTTAAAGTAGATTAAATGGGATTCTAGAAATGTATTCAGCTGTGGCATTATGAGCACGTAGTAGTGAAGCTGATTGAAGAATAGCTCAAACACAAAGGTGTATGTCACCTTCGGACTAGGCTGATGGAAAAATTGTCAGTGCCAATGTCATTGGACGTGTCACAGTGAAAAGTAGTGTGTCACAGTAATAAGTGACATGTCACATTACCAAGTGATATGCCACATTAACAATTATCATGTGACAAGTGGCACGACATAGTGACAAGTAACATGTCACAACGACGGGCCACAGAAAGAAGTGACATGTCACGGTGACAAGTGTCATGACAAAGTGACAATTTACGTGTTAGATTGACAAGTCCCTTGTCACAGCGACCAGCAGTTATCACGTAGCATTGAAAAGTGTCATGTCGCCGTGACAAATGTCAAGTCGCCGTGACAAATGTCATACCACCGTGACAAATGTCATGTCACCGTGACAAATGTCATACCATCACGTCATGTTTGGGTCTGTCAGGGGACACAACTGAGACAAAAGTCACACAAAAGTAAACAACATCTTACATCTGCCGATTGGGACAGCGAGTAGCAGCATATGGCAATCAGGATCTGGGTCAATATCAACTTCATTTTTCTTTCTCGTTCTTAATAATTAATTTTATCTGAAATTAAAAAAAAGAAATATTTTTTTTAATAAAACATCACGTAAACTCATTATATTTCTTTAAAACATGGACAATCACTTTAATTAGGCCACCTGCACGAAGCCTCTTAATTAAACAATATTAATGCTGAAAAATGGAAGTTACAGAAATATTATGTAATAAAAATTAAACTTGATTTGGAAAGAAATCAACTTTTGTGTTTAATAACAGTGCGTTACATCCAATTATCAAAGTTATTCAAACGTGTTAAGAAGATGATTGGCACCCCAATTAAAAATTACAACATTAAACCATAACAGAGGAATAATTAAACAAATAATAGCTTAGCCATGGCGGTTGCTGGGAAGGGGTGGGGAGTATTTGCTGTCACATAAAATTTTAATACTCATCATTCAATGAGGCTTGCGTAATTGTAAACTGTATGTTTCCCTTTATGTTAATACCAATTTATAGCTGGTATACGATATCATGTTTACAAAACCACGCAACCAAATAGAGCAAAAAACTAGGCAGCCTTCTTTCCCATGGCGACGAACTGATGTCACTATCCATGCGTCACGCTAAACTTTATATTACTTTCTAGAATGTACCCTTTCGTGAAAATACTTTTTTAAATCAAACTTTCACGACTATCACCCTCGTCAGCAAGACAGCCCATGTTTGTTTTAGAGTTGGACCTAGCTTTAGATCATCCTCATTACTGATGCTGGAGTGTGTTTCACGCATTTTTGTTAAACCAAACTTAACTGGCTAAATCTAATGTTGCATTAAAACTTTAATAATCAACAACTATGAACCCATTATCATTATTATAAAAGAACTATCGATGAAACTGCAAGTTAAGCAAAGAAATGTACAAAGAAAGACGGGAACGGAATGAATGCAAAACGTAGGTATAGGCTATATTTTGTAATGTAGTATGAAGCATATTTTGTATTGTAGAATGAGCCATATTATGTATTGTAAAATAAAGCATATTTTGTATTGTAGAATGGCCCATATTCTGAATTGTAGAATGAAGCATATTTTGTATTGTAAAATGAAGCATATCGTGTATGGTAGAATGAAGAATATTTTTATTGTAGAATGAATCATATTTTCTATTGTAGAATGATCCATATCTTGTGTTATAGTATGGATCACACTGTGATTTGTCAAACCGCAATTAGAGAACCAACCCAAATCAATCTAAACTCAGCTGTAAAAAAAAAAAATCAGGGTACCACGTGACTAAATTTATTGCTTTTTCCTGGACTGGTGGCAATGAATTGACTTGCCCCTAAGTCCGTGGGGTGGGGGCGGGGGGGGGGGGGGGGGGGGGGGGGGGTTGAGAGAATTTGGGGGGGGGTATTGAGAGCATTATTTACCGTAGACTTTTTAGGTATGGGGGTGCGGGGGGAATTGATGCAGACTTTAATGAAGACTTTCTAGGTGTGTGTGGGAGGAGCATTATTTACTGTAGACTCTCGATGTTGGGGGGGGGGGGGGGGATTGAATGCATTATTTACATTCTTACTTTCTAGGTGGGGTCATGTGAGATTTTATTTTAGACTTCATGCACGGTATATGCGTTTTTTAATTTGTGATGTTGATGCTGTTTTTTACATTGTAAAAATGTTTTTAAAAAACTAAAATCTCTGCTTTTACAGAATAGTAAAATATTAAAATACGGCCGTTATCATCAATTAAATATAATTTTAATGAACCTTTTTTGTTATTGATGAGAAAAGAAAATATTCAAAAAAATACTTGAATGTAATTCAGAATGTTTGTTAATGTTATATTTTATAAAATGTATGTAAGCGCAAACAATAATTTCAGCGCAAGCCTTTTTAATGTGGTTATAATATAAGTTATATTTTTTTATAACATTAAATTGACTTCAAATGGTTCGCCTTGTTTTAAAATAATTCCTGCAAGTCTTTGATTAATAATATTCAAGGGAGATTTACTGTAATAACTTTTCTTATACGACAAGAACACTACATTAAAACATGTGTCTAGTAGGTGCCCCCTCGCTCAAGCATAGAACTGGTTTGAAATCAAGCCACCCAACGTATGTTGAACTGTAAGACATCGGCTGTACTAGTACTACAACCTTTGAACCTTCTAGTGCCAGTGTCATGGCGTTCATGTGAGAGCATTGCGTCCGTACAGGAAGACAGGTAGTGAAATACATGTTGATCAATAAGCTTTTGTTTAACACAGAATGTATCACGACATCCTACACGTACAGGAAGACATGTAGTGAAATACATGTTGATCAATAAGCTTTTGTTTAACACAGAATGTATCACGACATGCTAGTACAGCCTGCCTGTATATTATTTTATTTAAAAGATAACACTTTTTAAATCGTAAATACATTTTTAAAGGCCCAAAGATTATCTAGAATTTTTCCGTTCGAGAAATGCAAACTTACCTTAACCAACAGAATAACAAGGAATATATTTAAATCAAGTTCTGTAACGAAAATCAGATTCTCACTCTCCTAAAGTTTACCAATCAAGTTAACAATCAATGAATAAACAATATCGACTTAATTCAATGGAATTGTTTTTAAAAGTCGAATCCAAATCCTCTTTCATCACTGATATTCATCACTGCTTAGATCATCAATGATGAATTAGTCGTTCTAAATTTCACACTATGCACTATCATCTGTGTGTTAAAATTGATTTCTGTGAACTTGTCCCGAAAATGTTTCCGTCGTGTTTTTCTTTACCTATCACGTGCAGGAGTACTCACGCTGAATTCTTGGAACATGCGAAAATTCTGATGACCATTCCCAAATGTTTTCACAAGCTTTTTTTAAATGTGGAGTTGTGGAATTTATATCTCATTATCCTCGTTCTTCTTTAAAATATGTCCGAAGCTAATTTTTAAAAAGTTTAAATTTGATGAACCAGAGATGATTTAGTTTGTTAACAGAACCAGGAGACACACAAGGAACTAGTGTGAGAACCACTGCGCTAAATTAACAGCAGCATAATTGGCCAATTAGAACAGCTTTCTTGTTTGATATTCGAGACGTAATCAGTCCTGGCAAGGTTCAGAAAATTGCTTTACGCCTGGGAGAGCGCGACACCTCTGGTTCAACCCCCCCCCCCACCCCCACACGGTCGGTCGTCTGCCACACCTATCGATACAGCTGATGTGGGCTGCAGGTCGCCATCCATTCACTGCTCACTTCTGCCAGACTGCCCGCCATTTCCAATCGTATGGTTTTAATGGCAGGGTGTTCTCTGTGCGCGTCAGATAATTATATTTGTTTAAAAATGAATCTATTTTGTTGAGAGGGTTATACCAGGCATAACGATATAATTGTTTGTGTAGGCGAGACAATTGTTGGAATAAAAATCTGATGCAATTATCACTCTGTATAATTGTACCTAAAATTACGGTATTCTTTTTATCAACGGGAACAATTAGGAAATCGATACTATGTTGTAAAAAAAATAGGTAAAAAGGTGTGATAAATATTAGAATATGTTTTCCGTTTCCGGGTGTATCCGTAGCGTTCTCTGACGTATTACAACGCTAGTTACAAAATGTAAACCGAATTGATCACTTTGTAGTTAATTACCGTAGAAAAAATTGATATAGTCTAGTAGTAGAGCATATTAAACCACCCAAAAGTCGCTAGTTCAGTTCCCGGGTCTGTAAAACATAGAGTCCACTCACGTCTGATGTGGACTGGGGCAGGGAGCTTTAAATCAACTTTGGGTCGTGTTGACCCCAACATCCCTTCATATGGCGAGTTCAAAGAAAAGCATTCATTCTTTGATATTTTTATCTTATCAGACCACTTCTTAGTGTATCTACACTAAAAAAGAATTTGTTAAATTAAAATAAAGATTTGATCATCGTTTTTATTGCGCCCTTTTATTAAAATAAATCAGCAGTTCAATGAGTTTGTTTGTCAACAAATCAGGATTAACCCTAATACACATTTTCTTTGCTTTTCTTTCTTTTTTACTATTTCATCTCATATTGACGTTTCATCTCTTAATCTTTCATCTGTAAACGTTTCATGTCTTAACCCTGCACACCATAACTATCACATCTTGCGATCACCGGCTATGGTAAACTAAACTCCTACCGTAGTGCCGTGTAAAACAAAATGCTACTAATGTGTATTTCATACTATTTAGATCTGTACTCAGTGTTGCCGCTTGAAACTTCCGCTGGAGACCACCCCTCCCCATACCCACTCCCAACCCCCTACCCAACAACACCAACCCCCTTACATCGAGATACTGTCTTAAATAAAAATGCACCGGTGATGTAAAACTACGTCCATGATCCGGATTAGAATATTTTCTGGGAATTTCAAAAACATACCAAATCTGGGTTAATCCGTAATCTTAAATCTTCGAAACTAACTTTTCAATTCTGAAAATGATGGTGAATACTTAATCTAATTTAACTCTAATGAGTTTAGTTTAGAAAAGAGATCCCTATCAGAATGTATTTTATTCAGTTTAGGTGTAATTTGATAGATCAAAGCGCTGATAATGTTTTCCAAATAAAACATTTTAGATTTTTAAATCGGCCTCCTAAACTAATCACCTCTAGAACTAACTTGGGTAACTTGTGATTTCCGAAGCTTTTTTAAAACATCAATAGAAATTTAATGGACTGCCCTCAATGTTAGAAATGTGTTTAAAGCGAGATTTTGGTTTTGTTCAGAAGTAGGGCGCCATTGTACCGGAACTATTCCCAGACTGTGGGAACTGGTACCGTCTATCTCCCTTCTACCTCATCACGTGATCTGTTATTTGCTTTAAAAAAAACGTTTTAGTCAATTTTAATCTGACCAAATGGTGTTTTAATGGTCTGTTGACCCAAGTGTACGAGCAGGATACACAGTAAGCTAAAAGAAATGTTAAAACTGGATTTTTATTACAACACACACACATACACACACTCACATACACAGACACACACACACACACTAATTGGCCAATGGATGATTGCGCACTGGAAATCTAGGC